AATATTTCTGAGTGTTTCACATTCCAGTGACCTTCAGTTTTCACTTACTCTAAACACTTAAATGTTTTGGCTTTTCTAAAGTCTCTAATTCCATTCCCATAGCCAGTAGTTGATAATCTACATATAGGTACTTGTAGTGGTGAGAGAACCTCTCAGTCAAAAGAAAACCTGTCTAGTGAAAAGTATTTTATGTGACGTGTACTAACATCCTAATTTACATGTAACTTAAGGTAACTTGTCTTCCAAAATAGATTTGACATTTTCATCTAAAGTTATAATTTTTGTGCCTCTGTATTGGGCTTTCTCAGAGTAGATGTATATCCACACTTACCACTTCTCTGGCATAGCTACCTTACTTATTAAAAAAAAATCCTATCTCTAATTTTGAAAACAGTAGTCATTGTAGAAGATTTGGGAAAATACCAAAAATCACAAAATTAGTTGCTTATATTCCTAATAGCCAGACACAGCCATTTTTAACATTTTGATATATATCCTTTTATATTTTGATTATTTACACTTAAAGAAATAAATAAAAATTTAAAAGCCATTTTAAAAATAGAATTCAGATAATACTATAGGTAGTGTTTTGTAATCTTTTTAATTTAATAAGTTACAGCATTTTCCCCTGCCATTAAATATCCTAGACATGATTTTAAGTCTTTTATTTCCTGATTTTTTTCTTATTATAAAATATGATGATGAGCCAGTCCTGATGGCCTCCTGGTTAAAGTTCGGTTCCCTGCTTTGGTGGCCCGGGTTAAGTTCCTGGGCGCAGAACCACGTGACTTGTCTGTCAGTACCCATGCTGTGGCGGTGGCTCACACAGAACTAGGAGGACCTACAACTAGAATATACAGCTATGTACTTGGGCTTTTGGGAGGAAAAAAAAAAGAGGAAGGTTGACAATAGGTGTTAGCTTAGAGTGACTCTTTCACAGGAAAAAAAAATTATTTACTAAAGAATTATCTGGAATTCCCACCACTATTTATATTTTGAAATCTCTCTTTATAGTCTTTTTCTCTTTGTGTGTATTTGCTTACTAAAGTGGGATTGTGGTCCATGTGCTGTGGTTTTTTTTTTTATTATTATGAGAATGTGCCACAATTTTTCATTTCCCTATTGGTAGACATTTAAGTTATTTCCAGTGCTTCCTTTGGTGTACCTCTCAGGTGAATTCTTAGAAATAATATTTCTATGAATATTCTTAAAGTTGTTGGCACATTTATGATTGCTTTTTCTTGAATTAACATTTCTTACAGAGTAAGGCAGATTATTTCATTTTGTCATGTCTAGCACAGAGGAGGCAGTAGTTGATTTCTGTGGTATTTCCTGTTTTCAAAAGTTGTAATCCAGAGATTTACCACCAACGCCCTCCCTCCCCCTCACCTTGAGATCTGGAAACAGAAATATAGCTTCTTAACTCTTCCGAATAAGTTCCCTGGTTAATAATCTGGAAAATCAAAACTATTACTTCACAGACTTTCATTCAGTTATGCATTGATCACACTGAAGCTTAAAGAGACATGGATTTTATACATTTTACTTAAGTCTCAGGCTTGTTAGTCCTTGTTAGGGACTACTGTTTAATGTTCCTTAGTAAAGAAAAGTTTCTCCCTCTCTCCTTTCTACATGACTCCAAACAATATTTATATTAGCTTATGTTAATTTCCAAAAATGTAATTATATGCAAATTGGTATTATACTTGTTAATAGATATTAGCCCCCAAGAAAATTGAATGGATACATGGTCAGCATGGCACATTGAGTGCAGAATCTATGTCTTACTCATTTTTATTTCTTTAGTCTTAACAGATTTTTTAAGCCTTTTTGTCAACAAACAGTCTTAGAGAGAGGCTTTGGTTCTGCATTGCTCAAGTATGTGAAAGGTTCATTTTCTCTTCACTGGTCATCTAAGTGGAAGCAGCTAGAAAGGAAGAATCCTCTCAAGTAAGGTGGCTGAAGAGCAAGCTGTTATATTCAATACAGATTATTGAGGATTGTATTTCTTTCCAGGGTGTCTGTGGAGGATGTTAATAAGCATACATGTAAAATAAATTCTGACATCATATAAGTAAGAGAAAGAAAGTAAAGCAGATTTTTTTTAAAGTGTGTGTGTGTATGCTTCATTTTTTAAAATGCTAATTACCTTGTACGTTGAATAGAGGAAGATAGACAATATTTCCCACGTTTTCTTGACCATGGAACCCTTTTGTCATAAATTCTTACTAACATCCAGGACCAATGTCATAAATAGCACAGTTCATAAAATTCTTCTCTAGATTAATGGACAGAATAACAGCCTAGTTGGAAGGAACTGTTTGCTGATATGAAAGACCTTTTGCTATTTTGTATTGTTGTTTTCCTAATTTAAATGGTAAAACATCTCTCAAATATTCAGATTTAACAAATTGGGTACAAATTAGTTCATCTTCTATGACTTCACAGGCATAAGCTTTAAATAGATTTCATAAGCCAAGTAGCCCCATCTTTTGGTTTTGCTTTGACTAAAATGACTTGTTAAAAATCAGTGATTAAATATGTAAAACTACTCTCAGAACTTTCTGCAATGATGCAAACGTTCCGTTTCTGTGCTGTCCTCTATGGTAGGCGGTAGCCACCAGCCACATGTGATTATTGAGCATTCGAAATGTGCTAGTGCAACTAAGGAACTGAATTTTTAGTTTTATTTAAATTTCATGAATTTAATTTTCAATTATTGCATGTGGCTAGTAACTGTTGTGTTGGACAGCCTAGTCTATAGAATGTATTTGTAGACTAGTGCATTTTTCATACTACTTATTTTAAATCAATGTGATTAAAATGAAATTACTCTTTGGAGAATATTTGTTAGAAAGTTGAGACTAGGATGAAGATACTTAAACAGTTTATGTGCATGTAACTGTAGCCACATGATTGACAGTACTCTTGCAGTGGTTTTGCACTTTTAAAGAAACTACATACATAAAGAAACTACATAGATTTTGGGCACATCAATATTATTTTATAGTTGGTTTTTATTTCTTTTGTATAGCTAATACTGCATTCTGAAATAAATAGGTTTTCACATTCAGTTCTAAGAAAAGAATGATAATATGAAGAAAGAAAATATTCTGTGAGATAAGAGACTTGTCAGACTTAGTTCCATTTGCCAGTGGCATGCTTGTATAGTCACCAAATTCTTGGAGCTGTTGATTTATCTCTTAAGTTGGAGATACAGTTTATGTAAATATTCTTTGAAAAAGTTAGAGCTGTGCAGAATGAAAGTAATTAGTGTTATAAATGTTACTGTTAAATAATTAGGGAACATGCCAAAAATTTGACTCATTTTCTGTGAATGTGCTTTTGAGTTTTAAACATTGTGATCCTTAATCATTTGATTTTTAAGAAGAGTAATGCTTATGCTTGGTAGAAAGGTCAAAGTATTAAGGCATATGAATTCTAAAAGTAGAAGTTTGACTAAAATAAACTCATAATTGCATAATTTTTAGAATAAGTTGATTATTTAAGATATGACTGGGGGCTAAATTATTTTTAGAGTAGTTTGTCTTATCTACAACTGAACTTAGGAAATTTTAATAACTAAATAGTTCTTTGCAAGTAGTTTATTTAATATATTGATAGCTCTTATCCCTGCACTTATCAGTCAAATAAAATATTTTACTCTCTCAATATGACCAAACAGCTTCACTTTAGTTTTTGAACTGTTTAAGCAGTTTATTTGTATTTTTAACTGGTTTCATTTTATTTATTCATTTTAAGAGGTGGTAATTATTTTAAAAGTTGTCCACAGCATTTTGAATTGTGTGAAGTAGAACTGGTGACTTCTTCATAAGTCATATATTATGTAGAGTACATGAGCAGCCTCAACATAAGCAATGATTTTTTTCAGTATGTGATAAAAAATAATTTTTTAAAGCCATATCTGTTTATTGTGATAATCATTACCCTTTGTCTTTAAATAATGGTTTTTGCTTTCCCAAATTTGCATCATACTAAGAGTCTGTTCGTATATTAAGGATGACATTTTAACATTGATTTTTAATACAACTACTAAATGGTCTTACCATTTGGGACTTAGTGTTCTATGTTACATTTGGTTGTAGTGTCTATTACTGGTTAAATAATTAAAAATGAGATTTTAAATAAAAACAATTCTGTTTTCTGACATAGTTCAACTTAAGCTAGTTGTTTTTTAACATGTATTACTTCAGGTTAGAGTCACTTTATTTAGCTTAATCTTTTTCTTTTTCACTTTTATAACAATTTTATATTTTTTTATAAAAATACTTGATGTTTTTCAAAAAATGATACTATTGGGGCTGGCCTCATGGCGTAGTGGTTAAGTTCAGCGCACTCTGCTTCTGTGGTCTGAGTTTGCAGGTTCAGATCCCGGGCATGGACCTACACCACTCGTCAGCCATGAGTTGGTGGCGACCCACATACAAAGTAAAGGAAGATTGGCAAAGATGTTAGCTCAGGGCTAATCTTCTTCAGGGGGAAAAAAATGATACTATTGCTAACACTCTCTTTCCTGATTATAGGAAGACTAGCACAATCAGTCCTCTGTCTAGCCAGATATTTGACATATAGGTCATCTAATACCACTGCTTCTAAGCCAGTTCTGTTAATCTTACTAATGTCTATTTTATTTAGTAGAAATACTATTTCATATTTAGTTTGGCTCTTTTTTTTGAAAGCACCAATGTCCGTATCGTCACAGTTCTCTTTGAATTCGATAACTTTAAGTTATTCATGTTGATGTGAAAAACCGTGTTTTGAGTAACACTACTTAGACATCTTAGACTGATAATGTCTAATTCAGAATATGAAAGAATGTTTTAAACACTTCACAGAGTCATGAAAATCTTAGTGTTTAAGGGATCGTGGTATTTGTATAGCCCCTTAACTGGTATGTGCTAAGATTTGAAATATGTCTGAGTTACTGTGAGATTAGGGACAAAATTCCTTATTTTTTATTTTATTTATTTTTTTTAAAGACACCTAGCTGTTGGGCTGAAGAGGGAGCAGAAAAGAGGTCACATCAGCGTTCTGCATCATGGGGGAGTGCTGATCAACTAAAAGAGGTAAGTTATTTCTCTTTTCAGTCTATAACCCATTTTGGTCCGAGCAAATTAGCTTACTGTTTCCTGAATATAACGGTACTTCCTTTATTCATCCTAACCTTTCCTCTTTCAGAGTTTAAGGGTTGCCTTCTGTGTTTTGGTGAATAAGTCTGAGTTTACCTTATTTGTGCCCTTCATGTCCTTTATAAATATTTTTTATGCACCCATCAACTTTTGCCTTTCCAAAATGAAGTCTGATTTTATGTGATAATCTCTATATGTCCATTTGAGTTATCTTTTGTTCCCACTTCAGCTTTCTTGTCTTTGAGTTACAGCAACCAGAGCTGTAGATTATAGCTTTGTGCAATGGTTAAGATAGTGTTTTCTGCTTCTAATGGCGTTCTTAGGATTATCCAGGATATTGTTGCCATTTGTAACCCAATAGTACAGTGAACTCCATGTCTCTTCGAAATAGTTTTTATGACCCATTGCCTTATTTATTATGAATAACCCAAATTATGATAATCTTTATGTATATCTTGGATTATTTTTCCTGATAGTGTTATCTTTTATCCGTTAAATTCTTACTTATTTGTTTTTGTAAAATTAGAGAAACAGTGTTGAAAGATCATCTAGTCTATCTCCTGTGTACAAACTCCTTAAAAAGATGGTCATCTGGTCTATTATGATCATTCTCAATGAGAGAAGCTCATCACTTTGCAAGAGAACCAAACCAGTTCAGTTGTTTTAGCTTAAGTTGTTAAATAGTTAATTTTGTATATTGAACTCAAAATTGTCCCCCTTAGTTTTGACTCTGTCCTCTATATCAGTATTGAGTAAATCTACTTTAAATATTTGAAAGGCTAGCAATATGTCATTTTTCTCCAGGGTAAACGTTGACATTTCTCTTAAATGTTTTTTATATTCCATAGTTTCCATACTTTTTAGTATCATTTTCGTATGCTATGAGTTATCAATATCTCTCATATATTGTGGTATCTGGGCTGAATATATATAGTCTGTTAGCATGATTTTGCCTGTGACTGTATTACGTTTTTAGTAGGTTCTTTGTATTACTGGTATAGAGAAATCTTCAATTCCTGTCTATCCTACACACAAATGCATATGTATAAGATCAGTTTTTCCCAATAAACAACAAAAAAAAGGGAAGCTGAGTCTAATATATCTAGTCTAAAATGGCAACATATCTATGCATAGAAGATGAATAACGAAATGAACTTGCAGTTTTATCTCTTGGGTAAGTATAATCTCAAAGTTATAGCCAAGATTTGGTATAGTTGAACTTTGGACTACAGCAACACCTGGTAGACACTATTAAAAATGGAATAGCTGACATGACTGAGTACAAAATTTGATTGCTCTCCCCACAAAGCAACCTTAAAGCTAGACAAAACTATCAAAACAGCTAGCTCAGTGCTTTGGAAATCAACCAAACAAATTGGGAAGGTTTCTTCAGGAAATGTACTGAACCGAACTCAGGGTAAGGATAACGCAAGTTTGTAGTATTCTTATCTGGTGCTACTCCTCTTCCCCTCTTCCTCATCCCCAGCTTTGTTGGTGTGGCATTTCAGCCAGGATGGGGCAGGCCTTGGAAATCAAAAGCTTTGCTGCCCCTGCGGGAGAGAGAGCACTTGATAGGAAGTAGTGTAGATTAAAATACAGGCATACCTCGGAGACATTGCGGGTTTGGTTCCAGACCACCGCATTGAAGCAAATATCATGTTACGTGGATTTTTTTGGTTTCCCAGTACATATAAAAGTTACTTTTAGGGGCCGGCTCCGTGGCCGAGTGGTTAAGTTCGCGCACTCCGCTGTAGCGGCCCAGGGTTCGGATCCTGGGGACGGACATGGCACCACTCGTCAGGCCATGTTGAGGCGGTGTCCCACATCCCACAACTAGAAGGACCTGCAACTAAGATATACAACTGTGTACAGGGGGGGTTTGGGGAGATAAAGCAGGAAAAAAAAAAGTTTGGCAACAGTTGTTAGCCCAGGTGCCAATCCTTAAAAAAAAAAAAAAAAAAGGAAGATTGGCAATAGTTGGTAGCCCAGGTGCCAATCAAAAAAAAGTTATTTTTAGGGGCCAGCCTGGTGGCGCAGCGGTTAAGTTCACATGTTTGCTTCTCGGCGGCCCAGGGTTCGCCAGTTTGGATCCTGGGTGCAGACATGGCACCACTTGGCAAAAGCCATGCTGTGGTAGGCATCCCACGTATAAAGTAAAGGGAGATGAGCACGGATGTTAGCTCAGGGCCAGTCTTCCTCAGCAAAAAGAGGAGGATTGGCAATACTTAGCTCAAGGCTAATCTTCCTCAAGAAAAAAAAAAGTTACTTTTATGTTATACTGTAGTCTCTTAAGTGTGCAATAGCGTTATGTATAAAAGCACAACGTACATACCTTAATTAAAACATACTTTATTGCTAAAAAATTCTCACCATCATCTGAACCTTCAGTGAGTTGTAATCCTTTTGCTGGTGGAGGGTCTTGCCTCGATGTTGATGGCTGCTGACTGGTCAGGTGGTGGTTGGTAAAGGTTGGCGTGGCTGTGGCAATTTCTTAAAATAAGAAAACAGTGAAATTTGCTGCATCGATTGACTCTTCCTTTCATAAACTAATTCTCTGTAGCATGCAAGGCTGTTTGATAGCATTTTACCCATGGTAGAACTAATTTTAAGGTTGGAGTCAATCCTCTCAAACCCTGCCACTGTTTTATCAACTAAGTTTATGCAATATTCTAAATTCTTTGTTGTCATTTCAACACTCTTCACAGCATCTTCATCAGGAGTAGATTCCACCTCAAGAAACTATTATCTTTGTTCATCCATAACAAGCAACTTCTCGTCCCTTAAAGTTTTTTCATGAGACTGCAGCAATTCAGTCACATCTTCAGGCTCTACTTCTAATTCTAGTTCTCTTGCTATTTCCATTGCATCTGCAGTTACTTCCTGCACTGAAGTCTTGAACCCCTCAAAGTCATCCATGAGGGTTGGAATCAACTTCTTCCAAACTCCTGTTAACATTGATATTTTGACCTCTTCCCATGAATCACAAATGGCATCTAAGAATAGTGAATCCTTTCCAGAAGGTTTTAAATTTACTTTACCCAGATCCATCAGAGGAATCACTATCTATGGCAGCGATAGCCTTACAAAATGTTTTTCTTAAATAATAAGACTTGAAAGTTGAAATTACTCCTTGATCCATGAGCTGCAGAATGGATGTTGTGTTAGCAGGCATGAAAACAACATTAATCTTGTTGTACATCTCCATCAGAGCAGTAATATTTTGAAAAGAATACTTTTTTGAGCAGTAGGTCAAGAGTGGGCTTAAAATATTCAGTAAATCATGTTGTAAACAGATGTGCTGTTGTCTAGGCTTTGTTGTTCCATTTATAGAGCACAGAAGATTTAACATAGTTCTTAAGGGCTCTAGGGTTTTCAGAATGGTAAATGAACATTGGCTTCACTTTAAAATCACCAGCTGCTAGCCCCTAACAGAAGAGTCAAAAAGCCTTTAAGCCAGGCATTGACTTCTCTTCTCTAGCTATGAAAGTCCTAGTTGGCGTTTTCTAATAGAAGGCTGTTTCAACTGCATTGAAAGTCTGTTGTTTAGTGTAGCCACCTGCATTAATTGTCTTAGCTGGATCTTCTGGATAAGTTGCTGCAGCTTCTACATCAGCCCTTGCTTCTTCACCTTGCACTTTTATGTTATGGACATGGCTTCTTTCCTTAAACCTCATGAACTAACCTCTGCTAGCTTCAGACTTTTCTCCTGCAGCTTCCTCACCTCTCTCAGCCTTCATAGAATTGAAGAGAGTTACGGCCTTGCTCTGGATTGAGCTTTGGCTTAAGGGAGTATTGTGGCTGGTTTGATCTTCTATCCTAACCACCAAAACTTTCTTCCTATCAGCAGTAAGGCTGTTTTGCTTTCTTATCATTTGTGTGTTCACTGGAGAAGCACTTTTAATTTCCTTTAAGCACTTTTTCTTTGCTTTCACAACTTGGCTAACTGTTTGACACCACAGCCTAGTTTTGGCCTATCTCGGCTTTTAACGCACCTTTGTCACTAAGCTTAATCGTTTCTAGCTTTTGCTATAAAGTGAGAGACATAAGACTCTTCTTTTGCCTTGAACACTTAGAGGCCACTGTAGGGTTATTAATTGGCCTAATTTCAATATTGTTGTATCTCAGGAAATAGTGCGTTCAAGGAGAGGGAGAGAGATGGGGGAATAGCTGATCAGTGGAGCAGTCAGACTACATTCAACATTTATCAATTAAGTTCACTGTCTTATATGAACATAGTTGTGGCACCCCCAAAACAATTACAATAGTAATATCAAAGATCACTGATCAGAGATCACCATAACAAATATAATAATAATGAAAAAATTTGAAATCACAAGAATTACCAAAATGTGACACAGACACAAAGTGAGCAAATGCTGTTGGAAAAATGGCACCAATAGACTTGCTCAATGCAGGGTTGCCACAAACCTTCGTTTTGTAAAAAATGCAACATCTGAAAAGCACAGTAAATCAAAGCACAATAACAAGTTAGTGCCTATAGTGATCTTAGTTGCAAATGAATAGGGAGGGTCAACAGCTCTGCTAGTCTGAGGCTGTGGTCCAATTTGTGGCAAGAAATAGACTCATGGAGTAGCAGAATTTTATAGAGAGTTCTAGAAGATAAGATAAGTCACGGGGGATTGATAAGTTCACCACATAGCCCAGGTTGACTGGATGCTGTGGACATGCCCAGTAGAAAATGAAGTAGGCCTAGGCCACCCAGGTATCACTGGCCTGTGGAGCCTAAGATTATGTAGAGAGGAGATTCAAGCAGGCCTAGTGGTGCTAAAATCTGGGCCACAGGCCAGGGGCCAGTCCCATGGCCGAGTGGTTAAGTTCGCATGCTCCGCTTTGGTGGCCCAGGGTTTCACCAGCTCAGATCCTGGGTGCAGATGTGGCACTGCTCATCAGGCCACGTTGAAGCAGTGTCCCACATA